GAACTGTCGCGGCATACACTCGACACTTCACAGACAGCCGGATGTCGCGACGGCGCCACAGATGTATCAAGTTGGCAAATGCCAATCGAGCCTTCTGTATGCGAGCACCCAATTGGAAAACCCTCCTTCCCATCTGTCTAGTTCTCCCTCTCAATCCCGAATAATACCCGACACCTACTGTTTACAAGACCCATCGGATATCACTCAGCTGAATGGTTACTTTGTAAATACATCAATTTCTTGTATGATCTGTAGAGGTTAGAAGATGGATTATTGAAAATATCTGTATGCATCTAGACGTGTATTCTCATGCCATAATGATCTTATTCATGAATTTGATTGTACAGGCTATGGAACGATTTCACAAATGACTACATTATACTTACTGATCCCATAAGCAGCAGGTGAAAACTAAACTAAGCAGCAGAAAGCACTATGCAGATGTTTGTACCTTGTGGATTCAAATAGGAATCGAACTTGGGACCTCACAATTCGAATTCAAGCCGACTATCCACGTGACTAGATCCTGGATGCATTAATTTTAAATTGTAACAAAATCATGTTAGCTGCTCTGTGATTAAGCGGTTAAAATACTTGCATCCCACCTGTGAGATCCTGAATACAATCCTGCTTTGAGTTCAGGAATTGGTGCTGCCGATCAGCTCGAATAACATCGAAACCACTGTGCAGTATCTCCTAGCAGTTTAGCTAACTGTTTCAATATTCTGTACATAGATAAAAGCCGATCGAAACCATTTTTCGGCCCAAACTCACAGTAGCTCTTCCACAGGCCCACTTACCAGACTACACTCAATGCCATTGCTGTACTTCAGTTAAGGTCTATGACATGCGCTTTCTAGGCAGCGAACGATGAAATGAATTGTTGATCCCATTTTTCTGCTCGGGAGCTTATTTGTCTTCCATCATTCCGCCAACTTCCTGGTGAACAATTCAGCCAATTACGGGAAGATGCTTCTCTATGCGGAGCGCAAAATCCCCACCTGGACTAGTTTGGCTAGAACAGCGCCAGTCGGGTCCACCGAATTGGTCTTGTCCTCGGCCGTGTTGAATTGGCAACCGGGGGATAGAATTGTCGTGGCCACCACAAGTAAAGACTATTTACAATCGGAAGTGCGCACCATAACCAGCATGGCTCCTGATATGCAAGGCATCACACTGAGCGAGGCACTTCAGTATAAACATGTGGGTAAGTGAATCAGTTACTGATTGTCCCCGTACAAGCCATAGACAGTCATTATCAGTATCGTGTTATTGATTACTCTAAAACGAAACAGTTGTGTATTTAGTGCACCGGGTCTGAACGGTTTTTGGGATATAAACTATATCAGTTCATAGGTGTTGACCAAACTCGTGTAACATTACTCTCATTTTGGAAATACATTTGTGTCTCCAATATCATACTTGTATATTGATGTCTATGGGTAAAGTGTATTTATTCCTGATTTTATCTCCCACATCTATATTCTTAATTCTTCTGTATCACCGTTAGAATTTGCATGACCTTGAGTGTCGCGATAAGATTTACAGTAGTTCAAAAGTAAGGGCTCAGATTTCGAAAATATTTCATTCAAAGAATCATAAGAATTCATTCTTTCTAACGAATGGTTCCTGCCTCATTAGAGTGATTATTAAGTTGAACACATGCATTTTAAATTGCTTATATCTTTTGATTTAGTGTGTAGTAAATAAGTCAATTAATGAAAATACTGTAGACTTAATAAATTGATAAATTATTTGGCCACCAACTACTCACGCATTATTCCTTACACTGAACCAACTAAAAACGTACTCCAAGAAACATACAAGTTGGCTTTCGGAAGTTGACCTTGAGATGTGCAGCTCGTTGAGTAAGCGTCTTATAGTGTCACCATGCCCAAACCGAATGAAACATTCCACAGGGTTTGGCATATAATTGAAGTATGGAGGCAACTTAATCGAAGGACACATGAACCAGACGACTCAGTTCTCAACTAGTGCAATTGTTTCAATATGAACATAAACTCAATTTGTTGCACAATCAACGGAATTTCTCTATCAGGACATAAATCAAGAGGGAAAAAACCGTTCACATCGAAGTAAGACGATAGTTGAATGTGATCGCAGCGGAGAAAAGTTGCACACAACCAATATGGAGAATAGTCCAGGCGGATTGGCCGATTTTTCCTCCTGCTACCGTTTGGAAAATGATGGCTCAATTTACAGTGCAATTGAGGTCACGTGAAATGAAGCCGTTATTGAACTCCCAATAAAGCTGTGCACTTAGTGATTTTACCAACAGATTTAAATCGAGTCTCCTGTCCATTTGGCAATGGGTTTAACTTACCGGTGATCAACGAGTAATTCACGGGGCAGAGAAAGCTGATCCGCTGAACTGGTCTTCCAATGAATTTCGTTTTACCTGATGAAACAGTTGGAAGGGAAGTAAGTACTGAGCGCAATAGAATCAGGTTTGTTTTAGCCACAACGTGAATACCAAAACACAAGATTTCGGTGACAACGTTTCGACCTTCTTGGAAGGCC